CGGCGCCGTCCCGGCCGGGCCGCTGAGCGCGCGCGCGGGTGCTCGGATGCTCGGGTGCTCGGCGCCCGTCCGGAATGCCCGGCTCGGACCCGGTGTGAGTCCCCCCGGGAAGGGGAACCTCGCCGGGGTCGTCCTCTGTCCGAGGGGAAGGCTGTTGCTGTGCGTGTTTCTTTCTGGGGTGTCTTGCACGCTTGTCTTGTCAGGCGCCGGGTCCAAGCTACAAAGTTCCTCAGGTGCCTCTTCCAATCCGATGAGCCAGCGCATCCACTTTTTGTTTCACTTATAAATTTAGTTTTCTCAGCTTTACTAAAATATAAGACAGTGTATGAGCGGGCACAAGGACAGCAACTATTTTAGTTTAGATGTCAGCAGTGGTTTTCAGTGATTGCACACGACTGAAGCAAGTATATATATATCTGCTCCTCACCGTGCTTTGGAAAGGACTTTTGCTCCTGCAAAAGTAAACAGATTTGCATTTAGAAGTGGTAAAGAATACATTTATGTATATTACACCACCTGGGCTAATTTCGTGCTTGAGTTAAACTTGCTTTTTCTCCAGGCAGGGAACTGAAGTAAGTTTATACTGGTTAGAAGCTGGGGCACCGCTTCTCTCGTGAGCGCCTGGATGTTCAGCTCTCACTGGTGTCCCGGGGCTTGGTTTCCTCTCCCTGGTTTGGAGACAGACTTTCGGGAGAGGTGGGGACAAAACCATAGTTTAAATTTTTGCACAAAAGGATGTCATTGTTGAGACCAAACAGCTCCATTTTTAATTAGGTCCTTTTGAGAGACTTCTGTCCTCCATTTCTTTCTCTAATTTTTGAGACAGTTAAGAATTAGTTCATAAGTACCCGATGATATATATTGAATTTGAGTAAGGTGAATAAGCTCACTTCTTAGGTGACTGGCTTAATTTAGAGCAATTCTGCCTTCAGGAAGGGGTTCACACTCGTAGAAATAAAATCAGTTTTCCAGGGGCCAGATATGTCTGAGCTCTGTGTTAACAGGTTGAATCTTTGGGTCAGCCCAGTGGTGGGGTGCCGTTACCCACTTCCAGGGGAGGGCTTCGGGTGTAAGTCGGTCTTGAAGCATGTAGCTGTCGCGCGGCACGTTTGAATCACAGAGCTTGCTGTCTCGAGCTCGCCTCAGTGTGCTGGCGTCAGTAGCTGGGGCACTTTGGAAATCTGAATCTTGCAGACTTTCCTTTAAAACATACGTTCCTGGAACAACTCTGCCTCGTGTGTTTAGCAAATAATGCTTCTTTCATATTATTTTGTTTATTTGCTAGGCACCTTTTTGAGAGGGCAGTCCATAAAACACCACATCCGTATAGTTGAACGAGAGACTTTCAGTGAACTTTAATATGTGAAGCTTTTGAACTTTCATGTTTTTGTAATTGGGGCTGTTTACTCAGATGTACCCATCTCAGTGCATGCTGTCGGAGGCGTTCTAGAACAAGCAGTAGTTTGACACAGTGATACAGATGGCCTACTCAGATGTGAGTTCGGGGATGTTTCTTAAAGGTTCTCGTGATTGCTCAGTACTTCCATTTCAGTTCACCTTACTCCGATAACCTTAAGATGAAAAACTGGGAAAAAAGAGAATGGAAAAAGAAGGCAAGAATGCTAAAGAATCAGACGCTTTGTAAAGGTGCTTTCTTTCGGAAATGTAGTGTAAATGCAGAGTTATTGATGCCCCCTCCTCTTCTCAGGGATGGACGTTGCATTTGACTTCTCAGGGAAGAAGTGCACAATGTTCAGCCACCGAGTGGCCAGATGCCGGCCAGTCAGCACAGACTGCTAGTGTCTTAAGTGCTGCTAGAATGTTTGCTCAGGTCCTGCTCAGATTTTGATAGCTAGAATCAATGCTCCCACGTTATGTGTTCTGAGTGAATTTCAAAGCACAGTGTGGCGATTCCTGCAGTGGAACACGAGGGTTATATTCTCGCTATTGCTTACTGATTTGAGAAATCAGTTGTTTTCTAAATTTCACTTTCCACATTTGTCAAGTAGAGCTAATACCTAATCTTACCTTTTAGCCTCACACGATTGTTGCAATTACCTAGTGAAACGATGCAAACTGCCAGCAATTGTTTATTTTAAAGAGGCCCCTAGAATGATTATGTAACCAGATGCTTGCCTCTGTGCCATGCCGTTTTTCCTCATTTCCTTCACGTCTATATAGCGTATGATACGGGTCCACTCTGCGTTACTGTCAGAGAGGCAGCCCAGAATGCGGGGAGAACATGGACGTCAGGCCTTAGCAATGTGGATTCACACCCTGGACACACCAGGGCTGTTTTAAGATGCTTGTAGGTACTCAGCATGCCTACTAAAGCGTTTTTAAATTGAAGCATGATAGGAAAGTGCACAGACTTCAAGTATACACTGCTGTGTTCTGGCACGTGGGCCCATCACCTTTCAGGAAGGACTTGCAAGAAAAGGGTATTTGTAGATAGTGGTGCTGGTATCCACATCTGAACTAGGATTTATGGCTAAGTGGGTGCACTGAAAATACCACCCTGCCCTGTTTGTCTTTTAACATCCATCCCCAACTTGATGCCGGTGCTGCGCTTGACTCTGCCTGTGTCTCCCGCTCAAGCGGTTGCCTCTACCTCTGGTTCCATCTCCACACCTTCGATTCATAACCACCATCAATTCACTGGACTCCAGTCTTGGGCTCACTGACGTACTTTGACTGAACCCTTGGCCGTCCCGTGCACCCCGCCCTTGCCTTTCTCTTGTCTTTCCCTCCCCATCTCTTCCCATTCCTTTTCTTTCTTTTCTCTCCTTGTCTGTTTCTTATTCCTTGACCTCCATTATGCTTTAATCACCATAACTGGATTCTGCCGCAGCAGCGATCACACTAAAGTCTTTGCTTCCTAATTGGGTCTGTCCTGCACCAGAAAAAAGACAGTCCTGAATACATATGAATATTATATGCTACAATATATGACTATTATATTCTGTACATGAATTTCTTAGCTGCCTTTTCTGATAAACTACACAATAATCCGACAAATGATGTGGCTGAAATAGTCACCTGGGACCTATGAGCCCCGGAATCCACCTACCTCCTTCTGCATTCTGAGCACCTTGAGATTATGTAAACATGGGATTACATGTTGTAATGCAAGGACCCGTGGAGGTTTTTCTTACTGCCTCAGAAATGTCATGAGAGAGATGAGGAAAAAGAGAGATGATGAACAGAAACTTCATGTCAGAAATGGAGCAGAAAAAAATATGGTCAGCCCCACACATCCGAGGGCTTTGCATCCACAGGTTTAACCAACTCAAGATGGAAAATATTTGAAAAAGTGGTATCTGTACTGAACATGTATAGACTCTTTAGGGTCACTGTTCCCTAAACAGAACAGTATAACAATGACTTACATAGCAGTTTACCTTGCTTTTTAGTTTTTTGTTTTTTGAGGCAGATTCTCACTATGTTTCCCAGGCTAGTTAGAACTTGGGGGCTCAAACAGTCCTCCTGTTTCAGTCCTCCTGTCTCGGCCTCTGAAAAGCTTGTAGAGTGAATGAAGTCTAGAACCAGTGCTTCAGGGCTTCCTACTACATGGATCTGTATTTGTAGACTGCTCCTCATCTCCTGAGCTGTTTTTAACATCAGCACATTGATGGGGTTGTACCAAATGTATGAGGCACTTTCCAGTTCACATGTCTTTTAATTTTCATGATTATTAACAGAATTTTTGAAATTATAATGCGATAAAGTTGATTAGCAGAGAGGAAGAGCATGGATACAATGTCATATCTGTAGTTAACGATGACAGGCATTGGAGAACCAAAGTACATCCTTAAGAAGGTGTGCCTCCCTTGTTCTAGGCAATATGGTTCACTTATCACATGATCTCTTAACCACCCTCTGGTTTCCCTACTTTTAGTTCTCAAGGAATGTTAATGAGTTAAAAAAAAATTATGTAGTTTTCCCTACTCAGAGTGAAATAACCAACCATGCAGAATAAGCGAGCCTCTGTGGGTGGGCTGCTTTCTGATTGAGAAACCATGGACTAGTGCTCTGGGATACATGCAGGTTCTTGTGAGGTTGGGTAGGATAAGCAGGGCATGCTCACCGTGAGGTAGCTAAGTGGTTTATGAAAGGGAACAAGTCTTCTGTCTGAGCTAACTTTTATGCCTTTGTTTGGGCCAAGGTGAGAGATTTGAACTACCATGGCACCATCAAGCTGTCCCCACTGGAGAGGAGCAGCCTGAATAGGTGGCCATCTTGACCATTCAGCTCGCAGTGGTGCACCTGTGAAGACCCGGGCATGGGTTCATAGGAGCCAGCACATCAGTCTCAGTAGGTGTTCAAGGAGGAAGGAAGGCAAGGAAGGAAGGCAAGCCTTTCACCTCTGTGTAAGCATTTCCAAAGTAAAGAGTTGCACGCTCTTTCCTGCAAATTCAGTTCAAGATACTGAGTTGTGGTCATAAAGATGGCCAGTCACACAGTTTGCTGGTGATTTGAAGAAGAATAGTCTGGAATCTTTCAAAACAAAACTAGAAACACAACCGAACACCCATATTAGACAAATTGCATGGGTTCCCAAAGAAAACAAACTAAAGCTAAAACTAACAAAACATGCACTCTGGCTATTATTTTTAAATCATTTCATCCTTTCAGGATCTTTTCCCCCTATAAGATTCATTTTGCACCTTGTGTTCTCATCTCACTGTAAAGGATATCATTGGACATCCCATAATGTATAAGGAAACTAGAAAAGCAATGAACGTCTAGATTCTGAGATTTAACAATTTGAGCAGATATACAACACTGCATCTAGTGTTTTAGCAATATATTGTAAGTCTAAACGTCTTGTGTTAAAATGTTAGCTTCCTTGTTACTTTTCTAGCCCATAACTTCTTCTGCAAAAACTCCTTCCATCTTTTGGTGAAAGTTTGCACTTAAAATATAAATATATTATTGCACCCATGTTAGACCAATCCCAACGATTGTACGAAATAGCTTATTAATTATATAATTGTACTTTTAAAAAATGTATTTATGAATTTGTGTTTGAATCATTTATTTCAAGTTGGAAACTGGTAGATTTATAGTTTCTGTCACACTTTTTTTTTTTTTTTTTTTTTTTTTTTTTTTTTTTGGTTTTTGGTTTTTCTCCGGTACCAGGAACCGAACTCACGACCTTGCGCTTGCCAGGCAGGCGCTTTTGCCGCTGAGCTAAATCCCCAGCCCCCTCTGTCACACTTTTTTACAGACAGCGTTCAGACAGATTTTGATCATTTGTGAAGTAGAAAAAGAACTTGTTTAAAATGTTTAAACTTTTTGTACTTCTTTACACAAAGCAATTTGTAGTTTTCAAAGCACTTTTCCATAATTTGTCTTATTCATACAGCAACCTCTTCGGGCAGGTAAGAAAACTTAAAGACAAAATTCATAGATAATAATCAGTATTTCTTATTCCAGAACACAGCCAAGCATGTTGCAGTGAAATTAAAGCCGGAAGATCCAGACTGTATCTTTTATTGGGACATATTTATTTACAATGTGCTCAGAGTTCAATTATTCAGATCTCTCTGTGCCTCAGTTTTTTCATCTACTCACCTCATAGAATAGAATAGGAAGCTGAAATTAGAGTTTGCTCAGCAGTCTACTTAATTATCCATCCACCCATCCATCCAATCATCCATTCACCCACTTACCTATCTACCCACCCATTACATTGAAGTTAATAAAGTACTACACCAGTAGTGGCATTATATTATTTCTATTATGCATTCTGTATTTAGTTCAGTTTAGCTTGATTTTATGTTTTAAATGTTCATTTTAATTGTTCATTTAAAAAAATCAATTAGTATGAACTGGTAGATATTAAAATCAGCCAGAAATGGAAGATTTAGGATCCCATGCTCATTTATGACATTGTGTAAATATTATGCACACTCTCTGATCTCCTAACTTTCCCTTCAGTAATAACAGTTATCTCTCCACAGCAAGTAGACCTGATTATTTTATTATTCATTGTATTAGTCACTTTCTTGTTGCTGGGACAAATTTCTGAAACACACAATTTAAAGGAGGAGAGGTTTATTTGGCTCAGTTTCCAGAGGGTCCAGTCCAAAGTTGGCTCACTCCAAGAGAGAAATGCATTGTGAAAGGGCATGGTAGAGGAGCGCTGCTCATCTCTTGGCAGCCAGGAGTAGAGAGAGAAGGAGGTGCCAGGGATGAGAATACACCCTATGTGGTCGCATGATCCACTTCCGGGCAGGCTCCACCCCCTATCAGCACTTGCTGGTACTGCACTCCTTCATAGAGGAAGCTGCCCTTTAGTATCACACCCTCACAGCCTCATAAGCAAACCATCCTCTGAACACGTAAGACTTCAGGGCACAATTTAGATCTAAACAATGCTGTTGCTTAACTTTAATTACCTCTACAAACTATGGTGAGTTTCTTGGACAAATATATCAGCTACCAGTTCAAAACATTACTGCCTGTCCTGTATTGTGTAGATGTGGAAAACAATGTCAATCCATGCTTCCAGTGGGCTAAATTTGTTGTTAGCGCTGCTGTTTTCCTCCTGTAGCTCTCTGATATTTAAAATTATTGACTCAAAGCAAGTTTTTATGTTTAAAGGCATCATGCTGATTTTTTCTAGCACATGCTTAGGTACTGTTTAAAATGCTGTGATTTTTTTTGTGCTTTGCATAGTATATCACTGTGGGACTCTTAAGATTTTACAAATTTGCCAAGGTAATTCCCTAAATCTCCTCGAAAACTTAGGACATTTGCTTCAGAACTCTTGGACACATAACTGAATTTGAGTTTGGTCTCTTGAGTCTTTCAGCTATTCATCTCATGAAAAAGTATTCGTGGTAGCAAGTTTCAATATTAAATTAACCATGGATAAGATATAACTTATTTTTGTTAACTTTCAGAATCACTTTTCTGTTGGCAATTTTGAAAGTTAATTAAGAAGAAAATTAATTAATTTTCCTAATTTAATCCTAGATTAAAGCTTCTGCTATTAGTTTTTGCTAAATGCTTTTAAGAATGCCTGCTTTGAAATGTTTCCACTTTGGAATTCATTTTAAGTCTCCATAGAATCTTTGGAGCTTGTTTTGCTCATGTTTTATTATCACTTTTTAAAAATAATAACTAGAATATTTCAGGTATGGTATATACAGTATCTTGAGTTTTCACCTTTTTCTAAACTATTTTTAAATTGCCTAGTTGGCAGAAATACTCTGTCTTCTGAAAAATAAATTCATTCCCTCTCAGGGTTTTCTATGACACCAAAGATGCAGTTAGTGGATATTTCCTAAAAATGTTCAGTGTATGTAGAGAATCCTGCTTGGTATCTATTCTTCTCCAGAAAGGTAGCTCTTTAGTCAGTTCCCTTTCTCACTGAATAGGTTGGCCAATCAAGTTGACCTGACGCCTGAGATCTCTCTGTGATATTTCAAAACTTTCAATGAGAAATGCTGCACATGAGAAATAAGTTTCTGGATTTTCTGGATGAGAGGCTGCAAGACTTACCCTTCCACAGCGTTGTACACATTTGGCAAAATCACACTGAAGGGATTAGTTGCAGAAGAAGAGGCAAAAGGAAGATATACACCTAAACACTATTCAGGTCATTATGCATAATTTGAATTGTTGAATTTATGGCTTAAAAGGATGTCTAGAATAATGAGCAGTTTGGATGCTTATTGAATTGAATATTCATTTGAATAAATAGTCATTGTATTTCTGCAGTGTAAGACAGTATGATTGGTCAGGAAATTCTTGACAGTTTGTCAAAATGAGACATTTGTATAGAACATGGCTCCTATTTTCAGAGAAACTGCTTTCCAACAAGATATTTTACAGTTGTGTACTTTTTTTAAAAAAATAAGATATAGAATGTAAAGGTAGAAGAATAGAAATATGGTGCTATAGCAGAAAAATTTCAAGAGAAAATTTGAAAGCTGGTTGGTAGATTGTAACTACAGCATAATGCAGTTGTAAGAATTTTTAACAGCTGATTCCTTAAGATGAGAGAACAATAGATGATAATAGATGATAGATAAATAGGTAGGTAGATAATGTGAAAACTAGTAAAGGAACATCAGATTGAGACAGAATTCATGAGAGAACTTCAAAGAAATTATTCAGTGATAGCGACAAAGCATAACTATGTGAAAATAGTATCTTGCTTCCATATCTTCTGAAGAAAGTAATACAACCTGGAAGATCCATGATGGAAAACTTTGAGAATCGCCTGTTATCTTACATTTTTATTTATTTTGTCTCATAACTACTAAATGGCCAATGACAAAAATTTACAATCAGTAATTAGCACTTCCTCTTCTATGATTTTCTTAACATGTGTAATGTACAAAATTCTTTTCTGATTGTGAAAGGGATGATGTGCTATTCTCCTTCATGTGTTTATTCCTTTATAGTTATTTAAATACCAGTTGGCTGTCTCCCATAGGCTTGGTATCAGATGAAAGGTTTGGGACGCAGTTCTGTATCACCAAGATGACACTGCTGTAGTTCATTTGTTTTTATTATAAGGTTACATTTACATTTATTTATTTATTTATTTGTTTATATTAGGTTTACATTTAACTTTTTTACCTTTAAGAGTTTTTGGGTTTTTTTTTTTTTTTTTTGCGGTACCAGGGATCAAACTCACGACCTTGCGCTAGCCAGGCAGGCCCTTATGCCGCTGAGCTATATCCCCAGCCCCTTTAAGAGTTTTCTTGCAAATTAAATTTCATTTCTACCTTGTTGCTAAGTTAGCTTATACCTTTTAGCTTACCATTAATTGTTCCCTCCACATGAAGGTTTTATTATTCTTTTTTTGCCCTTAACTTTTCTTTCTCTCTTCCTTCCTTCTTTCTTTCCTTCCCTCCATTTTTCCCTCCCTCACTCTTTTCCTTCCTTGTTTTTTTCTTGCTTCTTTCCTTCCTTTGTTCCTTCTATCTTTTTTTTTTTTTTTTGTCTTTTTGAGGCAGAGTCTCACTATGAAGTTCAGGCTGGCCTTGAACTCACTTTGTAGCCCAGGCTTGCTACGAACTCACAACGATTCTCTTGCCTCAGCCTCCCAAGTGCTGGGATTACAGGCAGGCACGTGCAGCCATGCCTAGCCCTTCCACCTTTCTATTAAAGTTTGGACTATGCTCAGCTATTTTTTTTGTGTGTAGTTTTTTAAAGATTGTTTTATGTGTATCATTTATACAGGTAATTCATTCCTTATCTATGGAAGATAAATCCTATCATAGACTCATTTTTAAAAATATGTTCCCTCTAAAGAATGAAGCCTCTGGAACTGGCTGGCCTGGAGTAAAAGCTGCCATGCAGTGGGTGTGACTTTAGGCAAATTACGTGTTTGGTTTTCTCATTTGTTAACTTGGAGCAAAATTAAAAACGTTGCAAGGGTTAAATGGATTGCTGTACTTCAAGTTAATTGGGATTTACATATAACATTCCAGTGAGAAGAATAAATTATGTTGTGTTCATGGTGTGAAGCTTGTATGGATAGCATATATTTTTAAAGTCAGAATACAGTATTTAACACTTCCAGATCTTTAAGAAGTATGTAAATACATTAAAAAATAGGTTCAAATTTTGAAACTTTAAGATTACTTCCATTAGAATATTTTACATTCTTGTAATACTAACTTTTTCTTCTCATGATTTAATTTTAACATATAGAGAAATATTATTGTATCATTTGCAATATTATTAATATACCAACAATACTATGTGCCACATTATTATGATTGCACCATTTTTTTGTAATTTTCTTTTGGAATTTGACAATTAGAGCCAATTTTTAGTGTAATTACCTTGTTGGTATAAGCTGGGTTTTCTTTGAATCCTTTAAGTTTGGAAAAAATATCTATGGAAGTAAAGATCACTATCCCGATGGAGTTAATATGAGTTTTTTTTGATTGCCCATTAATGTGACACAAATAGTACATTTTGTTTTAAAAGTTTCATCCAAAATTTTCTAGGGTGAATAATAGTGCAGCCTCGGGAATTTGTCTTCAGCTAAGGAGGAAAGACTGATTCAACCTGGCTGTAACACACAGACATCTCTGTGTCTCCCCAAATTACCCTCCAAGAAAAAGACCTAGAAAATAAGCAGGATTCTTAGGATTTTATACCTTTGAAGCTGACTGAAGTCCATGCTAGAACAGTTACCTGTTATGACTTTATTTTAAACTTCTTGAACTCGTCTTGGTCTCCTTAGTTGTGTGCACACTGTATTAATACAGCAGTGAAAATCTATCAACCAACTTTCCTTACCACAGCTGAGAGGCAGCAACCAAAAAGTAAAATGAGGAACTGGAGACTCAGTAAACTAAAGAAGAGACCCAAGAACTGGAGGACACAGGGGGTCAAGAAGGCAAGAAGG